AATCCTACTTCCGTAGTGATACTGCCTCGGAAACCCAAGGAGGGGTCGCTATGAGTCGGGGCCGACTCGACGGCACATAACAACAACAACAACAACAATTTGCACCCCTGAGGAGCCTTGGAGGTGCAGTGGTTAAGTGCTTGGCTATTAACAAGGTTGGTAATTTGAACCCACCCAGTGGCTCCTTGGGGGAAAAGACCTGGCAATCTGCTCCCATAAAGACTGTGTCCTAGAGAACCTTTTGGTTCTGCTCTGTCCTGTAGGGTTGGTAGAGTTGGAATCAACTTGATGGCAATGTGTTTGGTTTCGTTTGATGTACTCCCCTGTCTGTATACCTTGTGGCATTTCCTTTGGAGAGGCCAGATGGGGTGAGAGCGAAAGCCTGTGTGTGAGCTGTTTTCCTGCCTGGAACGCCCTCCCCAGTCACCCCCAGGCTTGTCCCTCGCTTCATTCAGATCTCGGCTCTAATGCTGCCTCCTTCCTGCCCAGAAGACAGCTGCCCTGAGACACTCCTCTTTCCTGCTTTGCTCCTCTTCACAGCGCTGACGTCCGTGTGTCCGTTTAGCCTCTGCCTCCCCTACTCGTGTGTGAGCAGGGACTTGGTCTGTTTCGTTCTCTCTGGGATTCCCAGCCCCTCGAGCAGCGCCGTCCAATAGAACCTTAACGTGCACCACATCTGGAATTTCCACTTTTGTAGTAGTCACATGTTTGGAAAAGAATCTGGGGAAATGAATGGCAATCGTGTTGATTTAATCCAGAATATCCAACACCGTTCCCTTTCAGCCTGTCGTCAATATAGAAATGTTTTCATGAGGTTGTTCCTTCTTTTATTCGCTCTAAGTCTTCGAGAGCTGGTGTGTACTTTACGATACCAGCATCCCAATCCGTGCTCGCCACAGTGGTAAGGGGCCACCACAGAGGTCACCACGGCTCTGGAACAGTGCCTGCCACATAGTAGGGATGCAGTCATTATTCTTTGAGGGATTGGGCGGATGCAGACCAAGAGGGTGTAATAGCTGCTTTGGGAGGAAGACACTAGGGTCCCCTCACTGAGACACCTCTGCTACATGGAGGACGATGGGGCCGTCCTCCGGGGCGATTGTGATGGGTGGGGCCCAGCACTAACACAAGATGGTAGTGATTTCAAAAGGAAACTGCTCCTCAGAGCAAAACATTCTTGTTCCCTTTCCGCAGATGGGAAAACTGAGGCCAGAGGAGAGAGGGAGGAGGTCTTTGGCTAAAGGTTACACACCTGGAAGTGGTAGGACCATCCAGACTACATTGTAAACGCCCTTAGGGACCGCCATCTAATGGGGGTTGTTTGTTGTTGTTGTTTTGTGCCATAGAGTCAGCCAGACTCATAGCGACCCCTCCTTGGGTTTCCGAGGCAGTATCACTACGGAAGTAGATTGCCCAACCTTCCTTCCGAGGAGGAGTGGCTGGTGGGTTTGAACTGCCAACCTTCTGGTTAGCAGTCAAGTGCCTTAGGCACTGCGCCACCAGAGCTCGTCTGATGGGGGTAGGCAGGGCCTTTTTCTCAGGGGCTCCCCACTGCCAGTAGCAGAGCCCGAGTCTTTTCTCAAGGCATAGGACCCAGGCCTGGACGCTGGCCTCAGAAGGCTAGGCCTGAGGCAGAGACCGGATGCAGGAGCCAGAGGGCAATCTGGCGGAGCGGCTGTCACCTAAACTTCGCCTCCACCAGCAGAGGGCGTGCGGCCACCGAGGAACCCACCAGCAAGGGCTGAGCCAGCGTTGGGAGGCTCCTGGGAGGGAGAGGAACAGCCCAGAAGGGGACAATGGAGATGCAGCCTAGAGGACAGGGGTGGGCGGAAGAGCCGGAGAGACCGCAGGAGGAAGGACCGAGAAGTCGCAGGGAACAGGGAGGTGCTGAGATATGGAAAGAAAAGAGATGGAAAGAGAGAAGGAAGTGGAGGGAAGAGACCAGACAGGACACTGAAGGAGCCATGGCGAGAGAGCCATGGACAAGAGGCAGGGACAGAGACACACAGGGAGAGACCTTGAAGGAGAGGGATGAGTTCTGAGCCCACGGGCTCGAGGAAGAGGAGGTGGGACTTCAGGAGAAGCCCCTGGCATGGGCCCTGACCTGTCCCCTCACCGTGGCCAAACCTAGGAGTAGAGGTTCAAGCTAAGGGGCCGCCGTTTTAGCTCACTACCTCACTACGGGGAACCTGTGAAGCATCAGAGGATGAGAAGGGGGCTCGTGTGTTCAGCAAGTGGCCTTGGGCAAGTCCTTAACTTCTCTGTGCTTCGGTCTCCTCAACTGTAAAGTGGGGTTAAGAATGCCAACCACCCACAGGGCGGGCTGGGTTAGACTGTGGGAAGGGCCCAGAGCAGGCCTGGCACCTGCTGGACGCCGAGGACTTTCTGCATTTGACCTCATTTCTCCTCCAGGACAGAGGTGACAGCATTCACACCCTCCAGAGGAGCCAACAGGCTCCCAGGTGGTGAGTCCCTTACCCCAGACCCCAGATCCCAGGCGCTGTGGCTCGTCTGAGGCAGAGCCCAGATGTCCTGGAGGCCCAGGTGAAGCCGACCCTGCAGTCTGTGCCCGGCGTGCCCCTGCATCCCGGGTAGACACGCATCTGTTGCTGTGTGCAGGCACTGTGGCAACAGCAGTGGGCAGAACAGACCCTGGGACCCAGGCACTTCACATACACAGACTAACCTGCCAGCCCTGGTGAGAGGGGTGGTCACGTCCTACCTCGCACCCCACGTCATTGCCGTTAGCTCCCATCAAGTCGATTTTCAACTCAGAGTGACCCCCTGTGACAGAGTAGAGCTGCCCATTAGGATTTCCTAGACTGTGCCCTTTATGGGATGGTGCTCTGGTGGTGGAGTGGTTAAAGCATTTGGCTGCTAACCAACAGGTTGACAGTTCAAACCCACCAGCTACTCTGCAGGAGAAAGATGGGGCAGTCTGCTTGCCTAAGAATTCACAGCCTTGGAAACGCTATGTGAACACTCTGCTCTGCCTGTGGGCTCGCTATGGATTGGAGTCAGCTCAATTGCAGCGGGTTTGGGTTTTTCAATCTTTATAGGAGCAGATTGCCAGGTCTTTTCTCCCACAGAGCGGCTGCTGGGTTCAAACCACCGACCTTTCACTTGGCAGCGGAGTGCTTCACTGTTGCTCTACCAGGGCTCCTCACCCTCCCAGTTTCCCGGTGGGGAAACTGAGGCTCTGAGAAGGGAAGCGGTTTGTTCCACTGGGGCAGCTAGGCTCCGAGCCTAGAGCAGTCAGCCCAGCCCCTACCGCCCACCCTGCCTGGATCACCTCCTCCGGCTTCTCGGGGCCCCTGGCCTGGGATCCGATGACGCCAGCCTCGCCTGGGTGTGCGGGGAGGAGGGCGACCTGGCCCCCCAGCGGGGTGGGAGACCGGAGATGCGGCCACCAGGATCGATCCGGGCTGCTCGGCTTTATCGGATTGTTCCAGGCTCCCGGGAGGGGGGTGCGCCTCACCCTGGGCTCCTCCCAGAATCCTCTCTTCTCTGCCCTGCCCCGGCCCAGCCCCTCAGAGCCCAGCTGGGGAGGGAGGAGACATGCTGTTGGAGCCTTAGCTGGGCTCCTGAGTGGCGGCTGGGCTGGGTTACAAAGGGGCCCAGAGTCTCTGCCCCACCCCAAGCTCCCTGCCCACCAGCCCCAACTCCACGCGGCTCCATGGGAGTTCCCTCCCTGCCACTGCGATGCCCAGGAGACCAGGACCTGGGGCTCCCTCCTCCCACCCACCCCCTCTTCACCGGTGGGCTGCGCCCTTTTGTCTCCTCAGTGTACCTCTGGGACCAGCCTGAAGAGGGCAGCCTGGGGACGCCGCTCAGCTTAGAGGAGCAAGTACTCAACTCGACGTTTGAAGCTTGTGACCCCCAGAGGACAGGTGGGAGGGGAGGGGCAAGGGGAACCCCGGGGTAGGACAGGCAAGGAACACAGTGGGGCAGGAGGGGTGGGCTGGTTAGGACCCGGGCGGGGTCCTGCTGGAACAGCCGACAGCACTGTGGGGAGCTTCAGGACAAAGTGATGAGGGGTGGGGAGCTTCAGGACAAAGTGATGAGGGGTAGAGGCCTTTCACATCGGGAGGAGAGAACTGGGGGACACAGATGGAAGAAGGGGGTCCAGGGGCCTTGCAGGGGGAGGGTGGACAGCCAGTATTGTGGCGTCTGGTGGTGTAGGCCTGGCTGGGCCATTTCCAGATGAAAAGGCTGACCAAAGGTCAGGGCAGGGACTGGACCAAGGCCTCTCAGTCTGGCAGTCCGGCCGCAGTGCGTGGGTGCCACCTCCCAAGCCGCCCCTGTCCCCGCTCCCAGTTGCCCCAAATTCTCTCACACGTCCCTTGCCCCCAGGCATCGTGGCCGTGACCCAGGTGGTGGCCTACCTGGAGACTGTGACGGGACGGGGCCCCCAGGATACACGCCTCCAAACACTGGCCCGCAGCCTGGACCCCAATGGGGAGGGACCTCAGGCCACTGTGGACCTGGCCACTTTTCTGGCCGTCATGAGGGACTGGATCGCCACCTGTCAGCTGGACGAGTGGGTCCTCACTTTTACCTTCCCCCAAGAAGTCCTTCCTCAGATCTGACCTTTTAACTGGTTACTACAGCCAGCATCCTCCGTGGCTGGAATGAGAAAATGAAGAGATGGGGTTGGTGGGAGGCCTGAGGACAAAGTGCCTGAGAGGGCTGAGGGGGCCTGGAGCCAGAAATAAAAGGGGGAGAAGGGAGGGGTGGACAGAGGCCCCTGGCCCTCCTTCCTGCGCACCCACTCCTTGCCCCTCCCGCTTTCCCATCTGGCCCCGGGCACTGCCATCTGGCCTCGCTTTCCTCCCCGCAGCGCCCACTGCCCCTGACCTGGGCCCCTCTGCCTGCCCCCCACCCTCCCCCTGCCGTGGCTGGTGGGGACTGGGACTGGGTGTGACTGCGGGGGGCTCTAAGCCTCATCCCTTTGATACAGGGGATTAGAGCTGGAAGAGGACACTGCCTTCGAGGGGGCCCTGACCCCCCAGCAGCTGCCATCTGGTGAGATTACTATGTATAGAATGCAGCAGGCAGGTCCGGGGTCAGACACTGGGGGGACTTCCCACCCAGGGCAGAGCAGAGCAGAGGCTGGAAGTCCGGAAGGGACTAGCCTGAAGCTGTGCGCTGGGCTTACGAGGACCCTCCGTAGCTGCCTTCATCGTCCCCCATCAGCCCTTTCCGGAATGTTTTGGGATTTTCTCCTAAGAAGGTGGTTTCTAACTCCTCCACCTCCACCAGCCCCATCATCTCAGCCCACGGGGGTCGCCCACCCCTGACGTCACTTCAAGCCCCGCCACCCCATACTCTGCCAGCCTTTGGGCCTGGCTGCAGTTCCTGGAATGTGCCAGGCCCCTTCCACCCCACCCCTGTCTCAACTTCCCATCTCCCTCATCCTTCATACTCTGGGTAAAGGGGTACCTCCCTGGGGAAGCCCTCCGGGCCCCAGTCCCACGTGCCCTGCTTTCCAGACACACTCCCGGATCTGCGTGTCTTGTAGCACCCCTGACCCCAGAAGTCTGAGGAGCTGATTAAGTAGAGCCTCGTGCATGTGTGTGTGTGTGTGTGTGTGTATGTGTCTGTCTGTCTGCCTGCCTGCTCACAGGGCCTGTACTCCCAGGACTTCACGCATAGGAGGCGCTCTCTTCAAATGAGTTTATGTTGTATTTCTCCTGCCTCACAAAAAAAGAGGGGGAAAAAAAACAGCTTTCACGAAATTCCCTTGAACCTTGAACCTGCTCCACTCAGGCTTGGGGACCCAGGGGTTCTGTAAGCAGGGTGGGCGGGTCACCTCTGGTTCTAGAAAGACCTGCCTGAGGCTTTGTGGGGTGCAAACAGACTGGGGGAAAATACTGGAGGCGAGGAGTGTGGGGAGGAGGCAGGGGTGACGGTCCGAGGGAGCCATGGGGGCAGAGAGGAGGGGCAGACAGAGAGTCAGGGGCAGGGGGACGAGCTGTTTGGTGGATGGTGGGCCCCTCCCCAAGTGGGGAGCTGGGAGGAAGGGGCTATGAGGCAGCAGCCATGTTGGAAGAGATGAGCGTGGGAGCTGGGATTATCCGGGAGATCCCACCTGGGCTCCAAGTACCAACAGCACAGCCTTTATACTGGTGCAGCCCTGGGAGGTCGGGAGTGGAAGTGAGGGTGGAGGCCCCAGGAGGGCGAAGCCCGTGGAGCCTGGGCACCTGGCATTGAAGGTCCCAGGGCAGCATCACCCTCTCTCCTTGCAGGATGCCCAGAAGCTGAGGAGCCGGCTAACCTGGAGAGCTTCGGAGGCGAAGAAGACCCCAGACCCGAGCCGTACCTATCCTCAGAGCCCGTGTCCCCTGCCCACTCCCCCCACACGCACTGCCCGTCCTCAGCCCACCAGCCTTTGGGGACTTGGGGTCCTTGGGGGAAGTGGGTACGGGGCGGACATTGCCAGTAGCTTCCCCTTCCTCCACGAGCGAGACGTCCACACCCACACGCCTACCCAGCCTGGGACGGCAGGCAGGGCAGCGGCGGTAAGCCCGCCCCCTCCGCCCCTAGGCCGGCCACAGCCGACCTGCTGAGCAGCCTGGAGGACCTGGAGCTCAGCAACCACCGCCTGGCCGGCGAGAACGCCAAGCTGCAGCGCAGCGTGGAGACGGCCGAGGAGGGCGCGGCGCGCCTGGCCGAGGAGATCGGGGCCCTGCGCAGGCAGCTCCGCAGGTGGGGCCCGGGCGCCCCCAGCAGCCCCCGCTCCGCGTCTCTCTCGCTGCATCTGTCCCCTGCTTCACTCTTCCTTTCTCTTTGGTGGCTCCCTGGCTCTTGTCCCGCCCTTTCTCTTTTAGTCTGATTCTCCCGCAACCTGTTCCTTTCCTTGTGTCTGTCGTCACATCGGCCTTGAGCTCCCTATGTTAGCCTCTCTCTGGGTTTCTGACTCATGCACAGCCTGGGTCTCTGTCCCCCTTTCTCTCTCAGTCTCTGTCCCTTCTGTCTCTGGGTCTCTGTCCCCCTTTCTCTCCCCCAGATTCTGCCCCCTCTCTCTGGGTCTCTGTCCCTTCTTTCTGGGTCTTTGTCCCCTCTTTCTAGGTCTTTGTGCCCCTCTGTCTGGATCTCTGTCCCCCCCGGTCTCTGCCCCCTTTCTCTGGGTCTCTGTCCCCCCCCAGTCTCTGTCCTCTCTCTCTGGGTCTCCGTGCCCCTCTCTCTGGGTCTCCGTGCCCCTCTCTGTCGGGGTCTCTGCCCCCATCTCCCCCTTTTCTGCGGCTTCCGTCTCCATGTGCATCCTCTCTGCCTGCTCTCATGCCCCATCTGCCCACCCCTCAGCGCCCAGCAGGCTCTGCAGTTCGCCAAGGCTGTGGATGAGGAGCTGGAGGACCTGAAGACTCTGGCCAAGGGCCTGGAGGAGCAGAACCGCAGCCTTCTGGCCCAGGCCCGGCAGACGGTGGGTCCCGGCAGACGGTGGGGCCCGGCAGACGGTGGGGCCCGGCAGACGGTGGGTCCCAGGCCAGGAGCAGACCCGTGCTCCCCCCCCCCCCGGAGTGTGAGCTGCGGAGCCCGGGCTCTGCACACAAGGGCGGCGGCCACCCGGCTTCCCTCCCGAGGAGGAGGTCTGGCCACGTTTGCCCCGACTTTCCTGGGCCTACCTGCCACCCCCCTTATGACAAGAGGAACAGCGGGAGCCATCCCCCCAGCCCTCTCCCCGATGTCCCAGGGGCGGGAGAAGGCGTGTGCGGCCAGAGAGGCTGGAATCGAAGGCTCCGTTTTCCCTCGCATCTGTCAGGAGAAGGAGCAGCAGCACCTGGTGACCAAGATGGAGTCCCTGCAGGAGGAGGTGAGCCAGAGCCCCGCCCCTTCCCGAGCCCTCAGAGCGCCCCCCACACAGCCTGCTGCCCCGTGGCCCTGGGACCACACAGCCCTAGGCTGCTGGCGGCAGTGCATGAATGTCCCTGAAGGTCACGGGGCAGCATAGGAGAACCTCTATGGCTGCTGAGACTGGGGGATGGGGCCAGCCTGCTGGGGTTCACCATGAGGCCGGCTGCTCAAACATGGGCCAGCTCCCTGCTCTGCGCCTCAGTGTCCTCACCTACAAAGTGGGGTCATGATAGACTCTCCCTCATGGGGTTGCGTGAGACTATGCGCTTCTAGAGTCTTTGGCACAAGACAGGACCCACAGGAAGTGCGCACTGGAAGTTCGCTTTGCTGCTGTCGTTGAGGGGTGCCGCCAGTGAATTCTGACCCATGGTGGGTCTGCGACAAGCAGAGCTGCCCTATGGGGCTTTAGGCTGTAGTCTCTCTGGAGGGAGCACATCACCGGGTCTTTCTCCCACAGAGCCACTGGTGCCACTGGTGGTGTCTGTCATTTTTTACGGTGGGAAGAACATAGACTTTGAAGACAGACAGACTTGACTTCAGTCCCTGCTCTGCCGCTTAGCTGGTGGGCAACCTTTTGGCAAGTGACTTCTCTGTCACCCTTTGTTTTATTCTGGGGAGAATGGTCTCTGTTCAACGGGTCTGTTGTGAGGATTCACAAAAAGCCCAGGGCCTCGCCTTCAAGATGAACAAACAGGCCCTACTCAACCTCGTCTCTGATTCAAGGCCGCATTCCATCTGAGACAGAAGCATCGTCTAGGTTCATTCTGGGCCATCCTGGTCCTTTGAGGTTGAAATCAAAACTCACCAGTTGAAGATCATCTCCCCCAACCCCCAAGGTGGCATCTAAGGTGCAGGGACCCACGCAGCACCCTAGTGCTCTAGGAGCCGGGCCATTGTCACTGTGAGTCTGTCCTCTCCGCTGTTCACAAGATTGATGTGCCTCATCCCATCTCGGCCTTGGTCGGCACTGCAGGCTGCTGTCCGTGAGAACCCTGCACCACCTTCCGATCTCTGGGCTTGTAGGTCTTACTGCATCTGCTGATGGTGCCCCCTTGGCCAGGACCCAGGGCCCCCCAAGGTCTGGTGCTCGCTCGCTCGCTCGCTCTCTCTCTGCCTCTTCCACACCCTCGTTGGGACGTGGGGAGGTTTGGCTGCTTTCCAAGGACTCTTTGGAGAAGAAGGACCTCACTGGGCCCCCTCAGCCTCGGCTCCTTATGCAGTCATCACACTCTGGGATGCTCACACTTTGCCGAGGCTGAGCTGGGAAGGGAGCAGGAGCCTCTCAGAGCCCGTCTTCCCAGGCTGCGCTCCCGCTGTGTCTGAGCTAACCTGGCCTGGCTCAGGATGGCCCCGCCCGTCTGCGCGCTGCTGGACCGTGCATTTCACCCAACATCTCTTTGTCCTGCATCAACGCTATGGCTTTCAGATTGACCACAAAACTGCCACTTTTCCTCTGGTTCTTCTGTGACAATTCTTCCCTTGGGGCAACGGGAATCTCGCGTCAGGTCTTGGCTGCGGTGGCAGGCGTGGTGCACAGATGGGGTGTGACTGTTTCTTCCGGAACATCTCGTTGTTGTTGTTGTCAGGTGTCGTCTTATTGACCCTGCCCTCATGGTAACCCCATGCACAGTGGGACGAAGCGCTACCGGTCCTGCACCAGCCCCAGGATTGGCTGCGGATCGGAGTGTCATGATCCGTGGGTTTTCATTGGCTGGTTTCGGAAGCAGGTCTCTTTCCTCCTAATCTATCCTAGTCCTGCAGGCTCCCCTGAAACCTGTTCAGTGTCATAGTAACACCCAGGCCTGCCCTGACAGGTGGGTGATGGCTGCGCCCAACGTGCATTGGCCAGAATCGAACCCAGGTCTCCAGGATGGAAGCCGAGGGAGAAGTCTACCGCGGAGCACCCACTGCCTCACTACAGTTTCTCTTTAGAGTGAGAGCAAGCTTCCGCCGAAGGCCCTCTTGCTCACGATGCGTCGCCCCGAGTGGCCCCCAATGACCACACTCAGACCAGCCCATCCAGGGCAGGGTGGCCTCAGATCCGGAGCAGACTTTCAGCTCCGAGGATCAGAGCACCAAGGAAACAGTGGCTTCGGTCCTAAGGACATTTGATTACACAGCAGGAGGCCCTGAAGGAGGTCATCTCTGGGGTGCTTCGGCCACTTATTGGCTTGTTGGTTGGCCTGAGGCCTCATAGAAACAGACACAGCTGCTGCAGCTCCCAACTCCATGTTCTCCTCCAAAGCAGGACAACACAGGAAGAAAATACACGCCCCCAGCTGTTCTCCCTTTGTGCCAGAAGACAAGCTTTCCAGACGTTTCTCCAGCAGGCCCCTTACAGCTCACTGGCTGGAACCGACCCCTCAGCCTCAGGGAGCCTCCCTCAGTCCCTGCAGTGGGAGCCTCCAAATGAGTAAGGGGTGAAAGCAGCCGTCGGCCTGGCTAACCCACAGTCTTCAGTGTCTGTCAAGATTCTGATCACAATCCCCAGGGCCGAGGCTGAGGCCCTGAAAAGTGGAGAATGGACTCCAGACCACAGCACGCTTCTGTTGGCAGAAGGATTAAGCAGGTGAATGGCTCCTGCCTCACCATCCTCGATCAGGCCCTCCGCGGGGTCAGGGATCTGAGCACAGAGCAGGGCCTGGGACGGCCTAGGCGCTCGATAAAACCAGCTCTTCTTGGCTCGCTCTGCTCCTTCTCCCCCCGCCCAGCGGCTGCCTACAGAGCTTCTTTGCGTTCTCGAGTTACAATCGAATGTGCTGGAGTAAGGAGACCCTGGAGAGGCTGGGTTCCAGGCAGCCGCCCCATGGAGAGCCTTTGGAGGACAGGCTCAGGTTGGTGCTAGGGCGGCTGAGTAATCGGGCCCTGGAGCCCGGCTGCAGATCCCAACCAGGTGGACAGATGTTGACACAGCATTCCTGGGCCGCCCTTCCTCCGCCCTTCACCTGGCAGCCGGGGCCTGCTGAGACTGAGACAGAGGAGGAGCCGCTGATGGACGACCGGAGCCAAGCCCAGGCTGGTGGAAGGGAGGAGCTGGCGCTGGTGTCCCCCGGGCACCAGGTGGACGGCTGTGGCGACAGGGCATGCTCACCGGCCCCATGTCCCCAAACACATTCCCCTGGCAGCCTCGTCACTGTAAACCTCAATGCCACATGCTAGGCTTCTGGTGCCCACAGACCCCACACTGGGATGTGGGCCACTTGGTTCTTACAGCCCACTCCTCCTCCCACCCAGCTTTGCCCACATAACTCTCCTCCGCCTTGAACACACAGCCCAGGCGCTGCTCCCTGGCAGCGTCTCCTGATTGCCCTCCTCGCTCCATGAGGCCAGGCTGGCCCCAGCAGCGCCTGCCGCTCACCCACCGTAATCGATTGCTTCGTGTCAGTCTCCACCATCAGTCTAGCTGGTTCTCTTTCTGTCCCCATCCCTGCCCAGGCTGTCTGGTTCAGAAGGAGAGTCTGTAGGTGACAAGCACCGGATTTGGAATCAGATTTGGGTTTGAGTCCACTTGCCATGTGACCTTGACCTTGGCCAAGTGTTTTTTTTAGCCTCTCCACTCCTCAATTTCCTCTGTAGAATTGAGCATTGGAATACAAATATTACTAGTTAGGATCACCAGACCTGACAGTCCTCCTGAGTGGCACAATATGACGTGCCAGTGGTACATAGGACCACCTATGACGTCTCCTTGCAAGACAGTTCAATGAGAGCCTGCTCGGGCCCCTGGAGCTGCCACCATTTTAATAATGAAGACAGGAGGATGTTGAACGTCCCCTGAATGCAAGCCACTAGATCTGAATGTGGGCAGTTCCACGGGATCAATGACCTGGTGGCTTCAGCAGATGAAGGTCACAAACTAGTGGTCATGGTGGCAGAAGGAGCATACTGCTTACAACAGTTGTAAGAAATTAAAAAAAAAAAAAAAAAAAGTCTAAATGATAAGAAACTTAGGAGACATCTTGAGCAAAAGCAGTGGTGGTAAGGTCCCTGGGTGGTAGACAGTGTTGCACTAGTGCTAAAACGACAAGGAGGCCACATGTTCTGACCTCCTCTAACCCTACAAGGGGAAGGCAGGATTACCAGCAGTAACCCAAGGCCTATTACTGCAAGACCAAACATGCTGCCTCCCTCCAGCCCTTTTACCAATCGTTCCTCCCAAAGCACCCACCACCTCTCTCCTGGGTTCGATAATTCACTGCAGTGGCCACACAGAACTCACAGATTATGGGGTTTATTAGGGAAGCACCAGGCTACAACTCAAGTCCAGGAAGAATGCTCAGTCTCTCTCCCAGCCCACCGTCCCTCAGCCAAGAGTCTCTCACAGTCTCTTTCCCAGCAGTGCCGGTCCCTCGGTGTCTCACTCAGCGATGCGTGTCTCTTGTGGCTCTTTCCCAGCAGCACGTGTCTCTTTCAGGGGTGCGTGTCTCTTTCGGCAACACGTCTTCCTCCACCAGCAGTCAGAGAGAGAGTTCTGCCTCTAGGAGGCCTCCTTTTGAGCCCGGAAGGGTGGTCAAACTAGCCAATCACAGCATCAGAACTCTAAACACGTGAGAGAGAGTGGGAACTTCCCAGAACATTGTATTGTGCCACGCCCAACAGAAATAACCCAGGTGGGCGACTTTAAAATCAGGATCTCCTCCGTAGCTAATAGCAATTCCCACCTTAGAGTTTACAAAGACTTATGGGTAGAAAAGCCACATTAAGTAATTTACTACACCGCAACTAGGTAGTAAACCAAAGGTTGCCTGTTCGAACCCACCCAGCAGCACCATGGAAGATCTGGGCGTGGCAAGCAGCTTCCTGAAAGATGACAGCCAGCCGAACTCTGGAATCTGCAGAACCTGCAGTCTCCCCCAAATTGAATACACAAGAATGAAGCAGGGGTGTACCATGTTGGCATCCTCATTCAAACAGACTGAAGTGCAGACAGACCACTGTGAGGCCAACAGGAAAATGAGCCCAGACTGGGTGTGGCCTGGATTAAGGCATTATTACGGATTTTCATGAGTTGTGGTGCTGGCAAAGAATGCTGAAAGTACCATGGGCAGCTGCAAGAACTAACAAATCAGTCCTGGAGATGTGCAGCCGGAATGCTCCTTGGAAGTAAGAATGGCCAGACTTCGTTGCACCTGCTTTGGTCATGTTGTAAGAAGGGACCGTTCCCTGGAGAAGGATGTCATGCTTGGTAAAGTGGAGGGTCGACGAAAGAGGGGAAGGCCCTCAACGAGATGGATTGACACAGTGGCTGCAGCAATGGGCTCAAGTGTAGCAGGGATCACGGAGCTGGCATGGGAGTGGGTGGTGTTTCGTTCTGCTGTGCATAGGGTCACTATGAGTCGGAGACAACGCGACAGCATCAAACAACAGTAACATGGATTTTGTTAAAGGTGAAAATGACAGTGTGGTTTGGCCAAAATAAATAAAAGGTCTTCAAGTAAGAGATAAATGCTGGAATCATAATAGGTGAGATAATATGTTGTCTGGGATTTGCTTTGAAATCATCTAGTAAAACAGGAAAACGCCTAAGGAGTAGAAAGGAGACAACACTGGGAAAATGCATATAATTATTGAAACCGGGTGATAGGTAATGGGGGTGCATTATGTTGTTCTTTTTACTTTTGTGCATAGTAAAAAAATAGAAGAGCCCTGGTGGCACAGTGGTTAAAGCGCTCGGCTGCTAACTGAAAAGATTGGTGGTTCGAACCCACCCAAAGCTTTGTGGGAGAAAGATGGTGGCAGTCAGTGTCCATAAAAATTACAGCCTTGGAAACCCTATGGGGCAGTTCTCCTCTGTCCTATAAGAGCACTATGACGGCAGCAATCATACTAAATATATATAATAAACAATTTTAAAAATATTTGGAAAATATTGTAGATCCATTTTATACATACATATAAACAACTAACAGCAACAACAACACGTATGTGCAGAAGAGCAAATTGTATGTATGTTGTTTGCTGTTTGTTAGTTGCCGTCAAATCGATTCCAATTCATGGCGACTCTGTATGTTACCATCGGGTTTTCTTGGCTATAATCTTTAGGAACCCTAGTGGCGCAAAGGTTAAGTGCTTGGCTGCTAACTAAAAGGTCGGCAATTTGAACCCAGCCATGGCTTCGCAGGACAAAAGACCCGAAGATCTGCTTCCATGGAAACTATTGCCTAGGAAACGCTGTGAGGCAGTTCTGCTGTCACACAGGGTTGCTATGAATCGCAATCGCCTGGGCAACAGCCAATAGCGACAGCAATCTGTGCAGAAGCAGATTGCCAAGACCTTTCTTCTGCAGAACCACTAGGCAGGTTCCAGTCCCCAGCCTTTAGAGGAGCAGCCGGTGGCAGGCCATTGGCACCCCCAGAGACCTTGTTTCCTGTTTAACAGTCATTGAACTCTGAGTAGCAGCAGCCAGGCACTATGCTAAATGGTTTATGCTCATTAGCATTCACCAAGATGCATTTGCATATGGTAACCATATGTTACCATGTATGTTACCATATGGTACCATATGCAAAGGTTGAGCACATTGCCCGACCTCTCTGTGTGCCAGTTTCCCTTATCTTTAAAATGGGGCATGAAAAATGAGTTACTACATGCAAAGTGCTTGTTGTTGTTGTTAGGTGCTGCCAGTAGTCTCCGACTCATAGCGACCCCTCCTTGGGTTTCCGAGACAGTATCACTATGGAAGTAGATTGCCTAACCTTCCTTCTGAGGAGTGGCTGGTGGGTTTGAACCTCCAGCCTTCTGGTTAGCAGTCAAGTGCCTTAGGCACTATGCTACCAGAGCTCCCATGCAAAGTGCTTACTAACTGTTAAACCAAAACCAAACCCACTGCCCTGGAGTCCATTCCGACTCACATTCCCCCTGGAGGACAGAGTGGAACTGCCCCACAGGGTCAACAAGGCCATCGATCTTTACAGAAACAGACTGCCACGTCTTTCTCCCTCAGGGCAACTGATGGGCTTGAACTGATGACCTTTTGGTTAGCAACCAAGGACTTAACCGCTGTGCCACCAGGGCTCCTTCACTGAGTGTTATTGTTGTTATTACCTCCTTGAATCCCACAGCGACCCCGTGAACGGGTCCCACCATTATCAGCTCTTGCATAGATGAGGGACTTGTGCTCAGAGAGATGAAAGCCCCGGGCCCGCTCTGATGGCCGGGAAGGTTAAATGGGCTAAAACACAGCACAGCTTGCTGCTGTCCTTGTTGGGTGCCACGGAGACATGTTCAACTCACAGCGACCCCGTGTGACAGAGAAGAACTGCCCCATAGGGTTTCCTAGGCTGTGATAATTATGGAATTGCCAGTTCTTTCTACTTCAGAGACACTGGGTGGCTTCCAACCGCCAACCTTTGGTTTAGCAACTGATGGCTTCACGGTCGCGCCCCCTGGGCTCCTTCTGCCCTGAGCAGCAGCAGCAGCGGTTACTGCCACCACCCTGACTGTCCCTCCTTCTTCCAGAATGGGAAGTTACTGGCCGAGCGCGACGGAATGAAGAGGCGGAGTAAGGAGCTGGCCACGGAGAAGGAAGCTCTGAAGGTGCTCCCTGTCCCTCCCTGGTGCCCAGCCACGGGTCCTTGTCCCCACCCAGCTCTGCCGCCAAGCGAGAGCTGGGCTCTTCCAGGAAGCCGTCAAGGCAGCTTGGTTGGACTCCCAGCTGCCCAGGGCCAGGGCTGGATGGCAGGGGGGCAGCCCAGACGGGCAGGGCAGGCCCCAAAGCCTTGGGGCCAGACAGACGGACACGCCCCTTCCTTGGCAGCGGCAGATCTACGAGTGCGAGAGCCTCATCTGCCAGCGAGACGCCGTTCTCTCCGAGGTGAGGAGCCAAGACGGGCAGCCGGCCTGTCTCCCAGTGCCCCTGCCCACCTGCGCCCAGGCCCTGGCGATAGTAACCTGGGGAGGGGAGGGTTTGCGGAGGTCACCACCAAGACCCGGCCTAGCTCATCCCTAGGACTTAAAAGCCTTCCTGGCAGTGCTCACCCTCAGGCCTAGCTCCTCCTCCAAGTTCAAGCCAGCCTTCCCCTCCCCCACCCCGACCGACTCTCCCCAGTGTCCCTGGGGGTCGAGCCAGTCTCAGTCAGCTTTGGGTTTTCCCAGCGCACCTGCCACGCAGAGAGCCTGGCCAAGACCCTGGAGGAGTACAAAGCGACCACCCAGGTACCCACTGGCTGTCCCCCACCCGCCATACACACGCCCGTCACCTGGCCTGGTTCTCCCACGTCTCTTTGGCCGCCTCTGGGACCTGCTGCCTCGCCCTCTCTGTACCTCTCTCTGTCCCTGGGGTCATGTTTCTGAGTCTCCACTTGTCACTTCTTCCACCTCTGCTGCAGGAGCCTCTCGCCCTCTGCGTCTCTCCTGGCCTCACGTGCTTTTGCTGTGTCTCTGTGCCCTTCTGTCCCCTTCTTTGTGAGCACCTTCTCCTTTATCTCACAGGCCTCTGTCTGCTGCCTCATCCCTCTCCTGTTTTGTTGTTGTTGTTATAGTAACATATTGTTGTTGTTGTTTGCCGTCGAGTCAGCCCCGACTCATAGCGACCCCTCCTTGGGTTTCCGAGGCAGTATCACTACGGAAGTAGATTGCCCAACCTTCCTTCTGAGGAGTGGCTGGTGGGTTTGAACCGCCAGCCTTCTGGTGAGCAGTCAAGTGCCTTAGGCACTATGCTACCAGAGCTCCTATAGTAACATATACATAACAAAATTTACCGTTGTAACCTTTTGTAAGTGCACAACTTGGTGGCATTAAGTGCATTCACAATGCTATGTAACCACCACCATGTCCTATTCCATCACCCCAGATGGAAACTCCATGTCCATTAAGCTGTAACCCTCATTCCCACCCCCCTCAGCCCATTATAGGAGCTCTGGTGGCGTAGTGCCTAAGGCATTTGACTGCTAACCAGAAGGCTGGTGGTTCAAACCCACCATCCAGTCCTCGGAAGGAAGATGGGGCAATCTACTTCCATAGTGATACAGCCTCGGAAACCCAAGGAGGGGTCACTATGAGTCAAGTCAAGTCAATGGCAGTGACTTTGGTTTGGGCTTTGCTCCCATCAAGACTGACAGCCTTGGAGACCCTGTGGTGCAGTTCCACTCTGTCCTCTAGGGGCGCTGTGGGTCAGAATCCCCTCCAGGCACTGGGTTTGGTTTGGGCTTTGCTTCTGTGAAGGAAGGAGCTCTGGTGGTGCAGTGCCTAAGGCATTTGACTGCTCACCAGAAGGCTGGCGGTTCAAACCCACCAGCCACTCCTCGGAAGGAAGGTTGGGCAATCTACTTCCGTAGGGATACAGCCTCGGGAACCCAAGGAGGGGTCGCTATGAGTCGGGTGCGACTCGACAGCACATAACAACAACAACATGGGAGTCCTAAGGAGCCTCAGTGGCACAGTGATTAAGCACTTGGCTGCCTCTCCAAAGGTTTGCAGGTCGACCCCACCAGCGGCTCCTCAGGAGGAGGATGTGGCAGTCAGCTTCCATAAAGATGACAGCCTGGGAAACCCTACGGGGCAGTTCTGTTCTGTCCTGTAGGGTCACTGTGAGTCAGAATTGACTCGACAGCAATGAGTTTGATTTGGATTTGGTCTGTGGTAGTTCTGTTTAACTCTTTGAGGAACCGCCACACCGTTTCCCAGCACGGCAGCCCCATTGTACAATGCTCTGGTTTCTCTGCATCCTTGCCAACACCTGTTAGCTTCCAGTGCTCTGTGTGTGTGACAGAGAGAGAGAGAGATAATAGCCATCCCAGTGCAGGTGAAGTGGCATTTGTGGTTTTGATTTGCATTTTCCTAATGACTAATGATGTTGGGCATCTTTTCATGTCTGGTTGCCTCATTTTGATTCTTGTCTCTGCCTCAAGTGGGGCCTAGTCGGCCCGTCTCCCCAGGCGGCCCTCCCTCTCTCTCCGTCTCCGGTCTCCCTGAGTCTTGGGCACCTGTGTGTCCGCGTGCGTCCGCATCTCTCATTTTGCCGTGTGTCTGTCTGTCTGTCTTCCTCTTGATTTTCCTGCCTTGGTTTATCCTCTGGGTTGCTGTTGTTCTGTGTCTCTCTTTGGTTTTTTATTTTATTTTATTTTTAATTTTTATTGTGATTTGGGTGAAAGTTTACGGAGCAAATTCATTTTCCATACAGCAGTTCATACACATTTTTTCTCATGACATTGACTGCAATTTCCCACAATACAACAGCTCTCGTCCACTTCCTGCCCATAGTTACCTCTTCCTTGTGTCCTTCCCTCCCATGCACTCCTGCCCCCTGAGCTGTCTCCCTGTGCATACACTGCCCTTCTATTCTCCCACGATTAACTGCTCCAAGGAGTGATACTGCCTGATGGAAGTGTTCACCCCACGGGCCTGTCTGTTGTTTGGCTGAAGCCATGGAAGTGAGTTCAGTTCCACACCTGAAGGGTAACTAGGGCCATGGTCTTGGGGTCTCACCAGGCTCTGTCAGACCGGTAAACCTGTTTTGTTTTTTTATGATTTCGAATTTTGTTGCACATTGTTCTCCCGCTCTGTCCTGGGATGTCCTGTGTCTCTCTCTCACTGTCTAAGTTTCTGTCACTGTTTTTTGCCCCTTGTCCCTTGGCAGTATGAGTCTGGGGAACCCAGAGAAGCGAGGGGAGTGGAGAGGACCCTGGGGGAGGAGGCGAGTGGTTGGGGATGGGGAGTGGGGAGCCAGGCGCCCTTTGGGAGGAGGCGGGCAGTTGGGGATGGGAGAGTGGAGCCAGGCACCCTTTGGGAGGAGGCGGGCAGTTGGGGATGGGAGAGTGGAGCCAGGCGCCCCTTGCAGGAGCTGAGGCTGGAGATTTCACACCTGGAGGGGCAGCTGAGTGAGACCCACGAGGGCCCAGACGAGTGAGTGGAGCCTTGCGACTGGGGGGAGAAGGAGGGGCTGAGGACAGGGGCCCCGTACCTTCACCCCCAAGTTCCCCAGTCTCTAGCCCGTCTGTGGGCAGGACTGCGACCCCCGGGGGCAGGCTGACGGATGAGGTGTCCGGCTCGGTGGCAGCCTTCCCTCCTCCTAACTGTATGGCCAGGCCGCCTGAAGGGGCCCAGGTGAGGAGAGTGGGCTGGACCAAGGTGCTGCCCCCGTCGCTGGGCTTGGAGATCAAGGCCATTCAGCAGGTGGGCCTAGTACCCTCAGAGCACCTTTGAGGCCACGGAGGCGAAAACTCCCGATGTCTCCTCCCCCGACCCTCGTACCCACCCATCCCTAACTCCACCTGCTGTCAAACAAGTTCCCAGCCAATCTCAGCTCCTCTCAGAGTCTCTCCACCTCAGATCCTGACCCCCAAGCCCATCGCCAGGCCCAGTTCTGCCTAGCCCCCACTCTGACCCCTCCCCATTAATCATCCCCAGGAGGGTCTCCCCGACTCTCCCCGAGCCCCACTCCAGCCCTGTCCCCACCCCTAAGCCCTCCTCCAGCCCCATTCTGCCTGGCTGACCTCAGAAACACCTGCCCCGGCTCAGAAACAAGACATGGCCGCTGAGGCAGATCTCTCGAGCCCTCTGTGTGGAGTGTGGCAGTGGGAGGAAGTCATTGATGAGACCCACGAAGAAGCCATGATTCCACCTGAAGCCCCTCCTGGGGGCCAGGTGAGCATAGGCAGGGGGCGGGGAGCTGTAAGGGGGTCCTGCCTTTGCTCGTTGCCTGAGCACATTCCAACTGCCGGTCTGCCAGACGTGGGGCATGGAGACCCCCAGCCAGGCAGGACGCCAGCCTGCCCTCCAGGAGTGGGCCCAGTGGCCCCACGGACGAAAGGAAACAGCAAACCCACAGACCGCCTGTGCGCTTTGGTTCTCCTTCCTGGTGTTGGCAAACAGAGTCAGGAATCACCTCATTTAAAATTGTGCTGCTTTGAGAGGTGGTAGAGGAGCCGTGGTGGCACAGCAGTTAAGTGCTCGGCTGGTCACTGAAAGGGTGGGGGTTGGCCCCCACAGCAGCTTCACGAGAGAAAGGCCTGGCAAGCTTCTCCCGGAAAGATGACAGGCTTGGAAACCCGCTGTGTGAGGCAGGCGGACTCTGTCCCACAGGGATGCTACGCGTGGGAGTCAGCTCGGCACCAACACCAACAGCTGCAGGAAGGCCCACAGGGCGCCCTCGCCTAACCCGGGAAGGCGCGGTGCGTGTTGACGGTCAGAGTATGAGGCGCCTTTCAGAAAAGCTTGGCAAGATGAGGCCCACTGTGCAACTGGAGCTCGGCTGAGGCCGCCCAAGCCCTGTTGGTTCCCACAGCCATCGGCCTGTGAGGACGCTGAGTGGCCCAGACCGTTACGCGCTCAACCAACCACTCGGCCGTGGTTCAGACCCACCAGGGGTAGCTCAGAGGCCAGGCCCGTGGCCGGCTCTCTCGTGGTCACAGCCTTGAGGACCCTGTGGGGGGCAGTTCTACTCTGACATACAGGGGCCGCGTCAGTCAGACTCACTTGGAAACTGACAACCACCAGGCTTGCTGATGTCTTCATTATCGAACAAGGGGTCAACGGCACGGAGACAGCCCAGCCACCAGCAGATTGCTGTCAGCACCATCCGGAAAAGCGAAATGTTAACCCATGAGCCCAGGAGAATCCTCTTTTCCTTTTTTTCAAAGAAAATATTTCTCATAGCTCTGTAAATGAGGTCATTTTGTCTTGAACTTGCCTCACATGTGGAGGAGGTGTGGGGGGACCTGGGAGCCTTCGGGCGCCACCCCAGGCAGTTGGCTGCATGGGCTGGAGCTCAGGGAAATACTGTTTAGAAAAGAGGGAGAGTTGGTGGGTGAGGGTGAGACAGCTCGATTAGGAAAATGGAGCAGGTGCCCAGAGAAACTGGGCAGATGGTGAGGCCAGCCCAGCCCAAGAGCGGGAACCCCTAGAGTGGGAACCTGGGAGGAGGGGGTGGGGGAGGGGATGGGGAAGGGGGACGTGGGAGGGGCTGGAAGGGGAACTGGGCTCCTCTCTGGAACTCGGTGAGTGCGAAAGGCTTGGGGGGCGTCCCAGGGTCCTTCCGGAGTCAAGAACACTGTCTGGTTTCTGGCTTCCGCTCACGGGGTGCTACAGCACTCTCTGAGTTGTAGGTCCCAGGAGGGGTGCAGGTTCCAGAGGGTGGTGCATTCTGTCAGCTGCAGCCCTGGAGCCCTCGGCCCGGCAGTCCGGGACTCATCGACAGGGCGACAGGGCGCCATCCAGCGGGCAGGGGTGTGGCTGAGCCCAGAGAGGAGGCAGGGGAGTCACCTGGGTGTCCCTGCCCTTTTCTGTCTGCAGACAAGCTTCCAGGAGGAGCCCTTGCGGCTGGGAGAAGAACACAGGAAGTGCTCCCCGTGGTAAGCCGTGTGCGGCTGGAGGTGGGAGGCCTGAGGGCCTGCAGGCACCAAGCACTCGCTGGCCCCTGGGCTGGGGACCAGGAGGCGGACCAGACCTGGCTCGCCCTCAGGACCCAGTTAGTTCTAGAGGGGGTGCCACACACCTGACCCTGTTTGAGGGGTGCGGTGCTGGGAAGGCCTCAGGGAGATGGCCCTCGAGTGGAGTCTTGAGGAGCCGGGGTGTATGGGAGACCCCGTGCCAGGCAGGTGGGCAGCTCCCTCACACGGTCACCCTCTCACTAAACACATCCCCCCACCCCACCCCGAGATCTCCAGCTCCCCGGGGAGCCCTGGGATGAAGGCAAACCGGATGGGGCCCTGTGAGAGCTCCCCACCTGTTGGGGGGCGGCTGTGTCGGGGCTGCTGAGGCTGAGGCTGAGGCTGTACAAAGCTCCAGACAGCCGGCCCCCTCCCCCTGGGCCCGGCCTCCTGGGCCTCCCGTTTCCTGGGGCCTCTGTCTCCCCACCTCCCTCTGCTTTGGGGCTCCTGGCTCTGGCAGTTAACGAGGCCGCCTGCCTCGGCCCCTAATTGGGCTTGTCTGCGCAGCGTGGGCCGGGCGCAGGCGGCTTGGAGCTGTGATCTGCCCGTGTCACCAGGGACCAGCCAGGAGGAGGGGCTGACGGCGGGCAGGCCCTCATCCCAGGCCGGACCGCCACACTTCCAGCAGATGGGGTACAATATGTCCCACAGGTTGGGGAGCTGGGAGTGAGGGAGGCAGGCGCCCTGGGGCCCTGAAGGTGAAGCTGGCTGGGCTGACAGCTTGGACCTTGACGGGCAGGGCAGGGTGCCACACTCCTAGGCCCAGAGTTGACATTTCAGGGGATCAGACAGTGTCTCTGGTGGGGCACAGGCCACAGGCCCCCAGCCTGGACCCCCTCCTGGTGAGAGGAGTGTGTCAGGGAAACAGCCGTATCCCCAAGGGTGTGGGGTCTGAAGCTCATGACTGGAAGGCTGGTCCCTGGTCCCCAAGGAAGGCGGTGGCAGGTGGTGTGGAAGTCTGGGCAGGGCAATTTGAGGCCTGAGTCCCTGGAGAGGCCTTTCGGGGCCTGTGACAGGGCAGAAGCTTACACATGGGAGATTTTGCTCCTGGGGTTCAGGACTCCCCAAGCCCATGCGTGCGTGAGTGGTCCCTCCCAGCCCCGCAGAGGGGAGCGCGGGGCAGAGGAGGAGGGTGTCAGCGGCCCCTGTTGTCTCCTCAGGCTGCCCAGAAGAGAGGAGGAGGAGGCGGAGGAGGCTGAGGCCCCGCTCAGGGTAGGTAGAGCCCCCCTCCTTCCGTTAGCTGCCCCCGTCTTTTCCTGCCCTGGACGGAGGCAGGCTGACGTGGCCCGGCCCTTCCCCAAACCCCCTCCACTCACTCGAGCAGGGAAAAATCATTTGGCCAAGAGATAACAAGGCATTGCTGCAGCTAATGAGAGCGGAGGAGGCCTGGAGGCCAGTGGGCGGCCACCATGTTCCCAGGGGACCCCCAGCCGCACGCTCAGGGCCGCATCCGCACGGCCGCGGCCCAGCACAGAAGGCATCACCCTACGCCACGGAAGGGACTGGCCCTCCGTCCCGGCTGGGACTCCTGGGGGGGGGTGTCACAGCTCTGCTCCACACACAGTGGCCTGTCCCTCCCTGAGCCAGCGGCAGTGCAGGTGGGGGGTAACCCTGATGCTCAGGCCAGGAGAGGGCGACCTGGGGAGGCCAGGGCCGGGGAGGAGGCGGCCACCTCAGCCCCTGCTCACCGCAGGGACCGGCAGCAGTGGGAGGAGCTCCCTGGTGGCCAGAGGACCTGGGAAGGGCGGGCTGGCTCCAGGGGGATCTTCTCCCAGTCCTGGGGGCCGGAGGTCTGAAATTGGCATTGGTTCTGGAGCTTTCTGAAGGCTCCAAGGGACAGACCGTCCCCGGCCTGCCTGCTGGGGGCTCGGGTTCGGAGGCATCATTCGGACCTGCCTCCCGCCCGTGGCCCTCCCAGGGCAGATTCTCGTTGCCCTGAGGCCCACAGTCATCCGTAGAGGCCCCTGGCTGGTTCAGAGGTTGGCAGTCAACATCTGACCTCAGAGTGGGCGGTTTGAACCAGGGCTTCACTGGTTCATTCTGATTCGAGAATTGATGTTACCATCCTAGATACATCCTAACTCCACAGTTTAACAAGTTCCCGGTCGGGGATCTTGTTAAATCATAGACTCTGACTTCTTTGATCTGGGTGGGAAAACAGTGTCACTGGGGGGTCGAACCAAATGAACCGGTTCAAAGCTCTGGTCTGAACCCCCCACGCAGCACCGCAGAAGAAAGGCCTGGTGGTCTGTAATAATGAGCACAGCCGAGAAACCCCCTGGGCAGTTCCGCTCTGTCGCCACGCGGTCGCTGTGACTAGGGGTCCGTTTGACGGCAGCTGGTTTGGGCTGAACTGCAGGCCAGTCCAGGCCCCAGGGACACAGGTCATCCTTTGTCCCCCAGGCTGCCTTCCCCGTTCCTCCCGGAGCCCCTCACCCTGAAGACACCCCAGGAAGCCCTTCTGAGAGGTAAGGGGCCTGCCGGGCCTGGGAGGGGACTTGGGGACGGGGGGTGGGGGGGGGAGTTCACTGGGCGCCTCCCCTCCCTCCCTTTCTCTCCAGCAGCCCTGTCGCACCCGAACCCCAGCGCGCCCTCCAGCGAGCCCTGGTGCCGGTGCCGGCGACCAAAGAGCTGGTTCCGTCCGGCACGTGGCACCCGGGCCGGCCCGCCTTCCCGCAGCCCCGG